ACTTAACCAGCCACCCTTCACACAAACCTTGTTACATTAGCTAAACATCCAAAGCCCATAAAGAGACGTAATGATTAGTAATCGTTTATAAACATTTACAAATGATGAATAGTTTTAACTAGGGATGCACCGATACCACTTTTTAGTACTCGCCCGATACCGATACTTTTATTTTTTTGTACTTGCCGATACAGAGTACCGATACCGATCGGGCACCCCTTAGCCTAAATGACAGCCTGTAGTCTCCTGGGCATGCTGTCACCCAGTTTCATGAAAACCTCAACTTCAGTTTTTTTCCCAGACTCGGTCTGAATAATTTTTGGACCCAAATTTGTATCCGTTTTACTGGTAGTCCACTGTGTGAAGAATTTTTGGGTTTAATTTGTCACAGTTTACTTTATTTTGCTATCCTCCCTTTACATAAATGAACTATAATGTCCTGCACCCACTAGTAAAAAAAATATCAAAAATTATATCTGGTCTCTGTATAATTTTTGGTTTGACTGTATATCCTTCGGTTATTTTCACACTTAATTATGCCCATTCACCATTTAGCAAACCAAAGGACCAAGCTTTTCATACATTCTCTGTTGTTCTTTTCCAAATAATCCTAACAAACTCAATGTGCTTTGCATTGTAAGCATATGCAATGTGTTGTATTAAGGTTCGATTGATTAGATTGCATTGCTCTGGAGTGAAAGACAAGGATAGAGCAGCAATAAAATGTGAGAATTTCACTCAGAATGAGCTTCAACACCAGGACAGGCCAGGAATAGAACAAACCCCTTAAACTTGCACAGCACGAGATGGAAACACACACCAGAATGGAGGGTTTGTAGGCTTGTGGATCACGTGTAGATTCACTTAACCCTCAATGTTGTACTGCTTTTACAGGATGGCCGTCCTTTTTTGATTTGATCAATAAGGACTCTATAACACTAACTGATGACTTTTCGTACGGAATGCACAGAGTGGAGACAACCTGCAGTCAGGTACAAAACCAGATTTACACCTTTTTATACCCTGCTATGTTTTTTTAATTTTTTTTTTTTATTTATTTATTTTTTTTCTATGGTACATCTTTCATTTAATAGAGCTGCTCCATTGCAGCGGCGTAGTACTGTAATCACGCATTTTGCTGTAATAATGCTGGGAACCACTCGTTATAAATCAATTTTTTTCATAAATGGAAGTCGCAGTTTTTTTTTTTTCATCTAAAACGTGCTGCGATTTATATTCCAAAGCCACTCATATAATGCAGAAACACTCAAGCAAGCAAAACACGCGCAACGCGTGCAGGTATTTGTACTGGTGCAGAATGAGAGGG